CCGACCCCAGGGATGGTTCAGGGCTGACTCATCCTTAGTACACAACAATTAATCTGACACGTTTCCATTTTTTAAAAACGAAATTCTGGACTTTGCTTTGACCGCTGTGCGTGTTACCTGTTTTCCACCTCCTCGGTCTCTATACACATTACCAGTGCATGGGAGCTCACCTGAGCATGGATTGAAACATCCCATGAAAAGGATCCTTGATGCAAGGTCCTTTGCTATGTGGCGTTCTCATTGATGGGGTGGTGGCAGCAGATACCCAACTGAAAACTTTGTCCAACTGCACATGTTGCAATTCAGAACTCAGTTATTCAATTGAACACACACGAAGCTGCCTGAACTTGAATCAGACCATCAGTCCATCAGGGTCAGAGTGGCAGCGGCTCTCCAGGGTCTCAGGCAGAGAAAGGTCTTTCCCATCACCTCCTGCCTGGTCCATTATTACTGGAGATGCCACCGGGGATGGAACCTGGGACCTTCTGCATGCCAAGCAGAGGCTCTTCCACTGAGCCATGGCCCCTCTCGACAGCTCTCCAGGGTCTCAGGCAGAGGACTTTCCCATCACTTCCTGGCTGGTCCTTTTTAACTGGAGATGCCCCTGGGGATTGAACCTGGGGCCTCCTGCATGCCAAGCAGAGGCTCTTCCACTGAGCCACGGCCACGACCCCACATGAAGTTGCCTTCTACTGAATCTGACCATCAGTCAATCAGGGTTAGACTGCCAGTGGTTCTCCAGGGTCTCAGGCAGAGGTCTTTCACATCAGCTGCCACCTGGGCCTTTTTAACTGGAGAAGCCAGGGATGGAACCTGGGACCTTCTGCATGCCAAGCAGAGGGTCTACCACAGAGTTATGGCCCCTCTTTGCAGCTCTCCAGGGTCTCAGGTGGAGGTCTTTCCCATCACCTTCTGCCTTGTCCTTTTTAACTGGAGATGCTGGGGGTTGAACCTGGGACCTTCTGCATGCCAAGCAGAGGCTCTACCACTGAGCCACAGCCCCTCTTGACAGCTCTCCAGGGTCTCAGGCGAAGGTCTTTCCCATCACCTCCTGCCTGGTCCTTTTAACTGGAGATGCTGCTGGGGATTGAAACTGGGACCTTCTGCATGCCAAGCAGAGGCTCTGCCCCTGAGCCACGGCCCCTCTTGACAGCTCCCCAAGGTCTCAGGTAGAGGTCTTTCCCATCACCTCCTGCCTGGTCCTTTTTAACTGAAGATGCTGGGGGTTGAACCTGGGACCTTCAGCATGCCAAGCAGATGCTCTACCACTGAGCCACAGCCCCTCTTTACAGCTCCCCAGGGTCTCAGGCGGAGGTCTTTCCCATCCCCTACTGCCTGGTCCTTTTAACTGGAGATGCTACCAGGGATTGAACCTGGGACTGTCTGCATACCAAGTGGAGTCTCTTCCACTGAGCCACAGCCTCCTCCGAAGGTGGGGAAGCTGAAATAAAAGAGAAGAGGAGGACATCTACTCATAAGAGACATACGATATGCTTTGTGCGAACCAGCCCTTGATTTCATAGAACCATTACATAAAATTTGCTCTCTTCTCCCTGAACTTGCAATTTTCCAGAAGTGCTGGATGTGTCCTCTCTCTCTCTCTCTCTCTCTCTTGTATTGTTGGAATAAATAACCTCCACAGGCAAAACCCATCCATCGGTGTGTTGCTCTCATTGAACAGATTCATGAATAACTTGCAGATTAAAAGCAGGCCTCTTTCCATCATTTTTAAACGAGCGCTGTCCCCCGGGGAAAAGGCCGTTCAGCATGACAGAGCTGTCATCAATAATCCATGCACCTTTCTCGTCAGGAACAAGCGCTTCAAATGAGGTCCCCTCCCACACCCCGCGTTGATGAACTTTTCCTTTCTTCATTCAAGGGAAGGAGGGAGAGGGAGAGGGAGTGAGAGAGAGAGAGAGAGCTGCCCTTCTGCAGGGCTGCAAAGTGTCACCCGTGTGCCAAAGACAGGGGTCGTTTCATAGAAAAAGAGCTAGGGGAACTCATTAGCATAACCCATTAGCATATGCCACACCCCCTGACATCACCGGAAATGTGTCATAAGGCCACACCCCCTGACATCACCGGAAGTGTGTCATAAGGCCACACACCCCGCCCCCAAGGGTCCTGGCCATGAGGGGCCCGGCGGTGGACCTGCAAGGCCGGCGGGAGTGCAAGGAAGCCCTGCGAAGGCCCTCCCTGGCCCCAGGCAGGCAGGGGTGGGGAGAGGCGGGGAGGAAGCAACTTACCCTCCCTCTTCTCCTGCCTCCTCCTGGCTGAATGAGGGCCGGAAGCGGGGCGGCCGGAAGCAGGGGGCGGGGCTTCGTTACCTCACCCGGGGGAACTGTGATCCCCCGCAATCCCCCCCGAAATGACCTCTGGCCAAAGATCCAACTAACGAAAGGAGGGTGCCTCAGCCTGTTTTACCAATCAAACAAACAAGGCATCTATTAAACAAACAAGGCATTAATTGCCCCTCTTTGCTGGGGCAGTTAATGCCCAATCTACGTGAAAGCCCCCCCCCCATTTACTGCATGCCGTTGACCCACCCTCTCTCCCTAGACTACCTGGTCACGTTGGGGCCAAGGAGGAATTTTGAGGGGTCTCCAGTAATCCCCCCCCATCAAGTTGCGGCCGACTTACAGTGACCCTTTCGAAATAAATTTGTTTTTATTAAACATATACTACAGAAACACGGGGTGCGTTCAGACCAGTGTTCCCTCTAAACTGAGTTAGTGTGAGCTAGCTCACAGTTTTTTAGCCTCTGGCTCACACATTTTTATCTCAGCTCAGGAAAGACGGCTCCAGAGCAAACTAATTTATGTAGAAGCCAACTCGCTCGCTCACAGCTTTAATGCCAGCCACTCACAAAGTAGAATTTTTGCTCACAAGACTCCACAGCTTAGAGGGAACATTGGTTCAGACGGGCTGTTTGATCAGTTTTTGTCACGCTTGAGCAAGGGATTTTATCTGTATGGTCGCAGTCAACATCTGCCTCCAGTCCGGGCCAGCCGTTGGTTTCTGGCTCAAAACCGCTTTAACATTGGCTTCTCTTATGTCCTTAATATGGAGCAGAGGTCCATCAGTGGCTATTAGCCACAAGGTATATAGATAGGAACTCTCAGTCTGGGGCAAGGGATGCTCTGTCTTCTTGGTTCCTCGGGGGTGAGGGGGCAACAGTGGGAGAGCTTCTAGTGTCCTGGCCCCATTCCTGGCCCTCCTGATGGCACCTGGTGTTTTTTGGCCACTGTGTGACCGGACGGGCCATTGGCCTGATCCAACACTGGCTTCTCTGATGTTCTTATGTTCTTAAGGGACATCTGCTCCGTGGGTGGTTTCCAGATGTGCAACTTTCCCTTGGCTCGAATCCCCTCTTCTGCACAAGTGTTTCTCAGTCAGCCTATTTATATCTATCTATCTATCTATCTATCTATCTATCTATCTATCTATCTATCTATCTATCTATCTATCTATCTATCTATCTATCTATCTATCTATCTATCTATCTATCTATCTATCTATCTATCTATCTATCTATCTATCTATCTATCTATCTATCTATCTATCTATCTATCTATCTATCTATCTATCTATCTATCTATCTATCTATCTATCTATCTATCTATCTATCTATCTATCTATCTATCTATCTATCTATCTATCTATCTATCTATCTATCTATCTATCTATCTATCTATCTATCTATCTATCTATCTATCTGTCTGTCTGTCTGTCTGTCTATCTATCTATCTATCTATCTAGCAGCCTGACTGCTAACTGGGGTGTTTCTAAGGTGGCAAACTTTAACCAAGCAGTAGATCGACGAATCGAGTTGATCTTCCAGGAAGAGGAGGCCAGGTTGAGTGGTGTAGAATAATTTCCCCCTGACCTTGAGAGCTTTGCCTAGCCCCGTCTCACCAGATCTTGGAAACTAAGCAGGGTTGGCTTTAGCTGGATGGAAGACCAACCACCAAGGAAGTCTAGGGTTGCTATGCAGAGGCAGGCAAGGGCAAACCACCTCTGTTCATCTCTTGCCCTGACCTGGATGGCCCAGGCGAGCCTGATCTCATCAGTCCTCTGAAGCTAAGCAGGGTCGGCCCTGGTCAGTACTTGGGTGGGAGACCACCAAGGAAGCCCAGGGTTGCCATGCAGAGGCAGGCAAGGGCAAACCACCTCTGAACGTCTCCTGCCTGGAAAACCCTATGGGGGGGGGGGGTTCACCATAAATCAGTTGTGTCTTAACGGCGAAAAAGAAAGCAGTTTTAATACTCGCAGCTTTGAGTTAAGGGCATGCCAATTTATTTTTTGAAACTCATTTTGGTTCTGTTGTGTTACAGTGGTTGGGAATGAAAATATGGAGAAATGACCTTTTCTTCTAATGAATTCATCACGCTGCATAGCTTAAACGACTGATCGTTATGCTTATTTCAATTTAAATGACTAATCAGTTACAAGGGGGATCATAATACTCAGCATTTGTTGTAGCTCTTGCAGATCTAGAAAAGCTCAGATCAGAGTCTTGTGGCACCTTGAAAACTAACATTTTTTTTTTTAAATTCACCTAAGCTTTGGAGGGCCTTGACGTGGATGGCTGAGGCGAGCCCGATCTGGTCAGATTTCGGAACCTGAGCAGGGTCGATCCTGGTCAGTATTTGGGTGGAAGACCTCCAAGGAAGTCCAGGGTTGCTACAATCTCTGAACATCTCTTGTATTGAAAATCCAATAGGGTCACCATATGTTGGCTGTAACTACACACACACACATCCTTGAGGCTTAAGAAATGGGGCTCTAGAGTCCGGGAGGTGATCGTGGCTCAGTGGCAGAGCCTCTGCTTGGCACGCAGGAGTTCCCAGGTTCAGTCCCCAGCATCTCCAGTTAAAAAGGACCAGGCAGGAGGTGATGGGAAAGACCTCCGCCTGAGACCCTGGATAGCTGTAAAGAGGGGCCTTGGCTCAGTGGAAGAGCCACTGCATCAGGCCGCCACCAGGTGTTCATTTTCAGACATGGCAGAAGCTCTCCTAAACCAGTTCCTCTTGGGACTACGGGAGCCTAAGCTCCGGAGGAGACTGGTCAGCCAGGACAACCTGGATCTAGATAAGGTGATCCGGGAGGCCACCGCTTATGAGAAGGCCCACCAAGACTGCCGTGCCAAGGCGGTCCACCGCAAACAAGCCGCTGTAGGCTCCGATGCCTTGGATGAGGAGCTACCGGTCCGCCATCGGTCAGCTCAGCGCCCGCATCAGTCATCATCCAACTCCAGCAAGGTGTCTTCGGCTACTTCGGCTCCGTGTGCCAGCTGCGGGGAGGACCACGAGCGCCGGTCGTGCTGTTTCCGGAGCACCGTCTGCCGCTCCAAGGGACAATGCCCAAAACCTTCGGCACACCAGACCTCAGCGGACTAGCACATCAACCTCCACACTCTCTCGGCCCACCACCAGCAGCACCTGGTATGTAACTTGCCTCCCGATAGCCCCAACAAAGTGCATGTTACTGTTCACATAGAAGGGTCCCCCCGCAGCATGGAGATAGATACGGGGTCATCGTTCTCCATTATCTCCACAGAGACGCTCCGCACGCTGTGTCCCCAGGGCGCCCCCCCTGCAAAAGCCACGGAGTTTCGCTTTACGGGATTTCAATAAGAACCCCGAGGCAGTACTGGGCTGGGGCAAGTCCCAGGTGCGGTTCCAAGAATTTGACGAGCCCCTAGACCTGCTAGTGGTGGAAGGGCGATGCTCCAGTCTGTTGGGCCTGTCCTGGTTCGAGCCGTTGGGACTGTCTTTGAATGGGATCAACCAGGTCCGGTCTCTGGATTTTGGTGCTGTGTGCACGGAATTTCCCCTATTTCACTGGACCTTGACCCTGCTGTCCGCCCCATCCGCACTAAGGCCAGGCTACCGCCAATTGCAATGAAGCCTAATATTGAGGCTGAGCTGGATCGCCTGGTGGAACAAGGGGGTTCTGGAACCGGTCATGTTGGCAGGATGGGAAACCCCTATAGTCAACCCGGTGAAACCGAACGGGGACGTGCGTATTTGTGCAGACTACAAATGCACGCTTAATAAGGCTCTGCAGGCACACGCGTATCCCGTGCCGGCAGTGAGCCATGTGCTGGCTGTTTTAGCGGGGGCCCGGGTCTTCGTTAAGTTGGACTTGGCCCAGGCGTATCAGCAATTGCCAGTGGATGCCGCCACGGCTGAGGCTCAAACTATCATGACGCACCGGGGGGCTTTCAAGGTACACCGCCTCCATTTCAGAGTCTCAGTCGCGCCGGGAATTTTTCAATCTTTTATGGATTCACTCCTGAAAGGTATCCCCGGAGTTCGGCCGTTTTTAGACGATGGGCTGATCGCCGCCCCGGAGAATGCGTCTTTCGCCGACCGTCTGTGAGCTGTGCTGCACCGCTTCGATACGGCCGAGCTCAAGGTCAAGCGTGAGAAGTGCCTCCTGGGAGTTCCTCGCATTGAGTTCCTGGGCTTCGCTGTTGACGCCTCCGGCATCCACTCCACCGCGGACAAGGTAAAAGCCATCACACACGCACCGCCGCCACAGTCCAAGTCGGAGTTACAGGCCTTTCTGGGGCTTCTGAACTTTTATCATTCCTTCTTGCCCCTCAAGGCTGCGGTTGCAGAACCACTCCACTGCCTCCTGGACAAGTCGGCGCCTTGGGTCTGGGGTCCCCTGCAGGCGGCAGCGTTCCAAGCTGTCAAGGACCTGCTCGTGTCTAATTCGGTCCTGGCGCATTTCAATGAGGCCCTCCCTGTGGTGCTGGCTTGTGATGCTTTGCCTTACGAGGCCGGGGCGGTCCTGGGCCACCGACTGCCGGACGTCCATGGGGTCCCGGTCGCCTATTATTCACGGACTCTTTCTGCGGCTGAGTGCAACTACGCGCAGATAGATAAAGAGGCGCTGGCTTTTTTAGCGGGGGTGAAGAAATTTCACCACTATCTGTATGGGCGCCCGTTCACGGTCCTCATGGATCACAAGGCGCTGCTGGGCCTCCTGGCCCCCGACCGCCAGACCCCTCAGATGATTTCTCCCTGGGTGCTCCGCTGGTTTATTTTCATGGGTGGGTACTCCTACACCCTCGTTCACCACCAGGGGAAGGCGATGGGCCATGCTGACGCCCTGAGCCACCTGCCGCTGCCAATCTGCGACCTAGCTCCGGCTCCCGCCCACCAGATCGCGCTTCTGGAGTCCCTCCCGGATCAACCGCTCCATGTCAAGGAGGTGGCTCACTGCACCTCCGAGGACAAGGTACTCTGCGGGTCTTGGACTGGGTGGTGAGGGGGTGGCCCGCGGCCAAAGGGGATCTGGACTTTACTCCCTTTGCTTCCCGGAAGGACAAACTGTCCACAAAGGCTGTGTGCTGTGGGGAAGCAGAATGGTCATCCCTAAGCCCTTACGGGAACGGGTCCTCACCACCCTTCATGATGCACACCCCGGGGTGGTGTGCATGAAAGCCTTGGCCCGTAGCTACATCTGGTGGCCTGGGCTGGACGACAGAAAGGACGTGGTTAAGAGGTGCCAACCATGCCAAGCATCTTGGCCGGAACTACCGCGAGCCCCAGAAAGGGCCTGGGAATCTTCCCACTGCCCCTGGTCCCGGTTACACTTGGACTTTGCTGGACCTTTCCACGGGCGTTTTTTCTTTATACTCGTAGATTCCTACAGTAAATGGCTGGAGGTAGTGCCAGTACCTTCCACTTCATCAAAGGTGGCCATCCAGGCAATGTGGCGGATTTTCAGCGCCCAAGGGATCCCTGATACGTTGGTCATGGACTATGCCCCACACCACTACGGGGCACAGTCTGGTAGAGCTACTTCTTGGCCATCGCCTGATGACCCGACTGGACCGCCTGCATCCAGACCGCGCACCAGTAGAAGCTCCGGTCCACGGAGTCCCTCGAGGCAGCCACGGGATTCTTCCTGGAGGATCCCGTATATGCGAGGAACTACACCCGGGGGCCAGCCTGGATTCCGGCTCGCGTGGTGAGAGTCAAAGGGCCTTACGAGGTTTCATGTGAGGACGGACAGATACTGCATCGACATATCGTTCAGTGACGCCGTCGAACCTTGCCTCTGGAATCCGAGGACTTGGACCTTGCAGAGGCCCCGGATACCTCAGCCCTTCTCCCACCGGGACCTGCCAAACCCGCGCCTCATCCCAGGAGCATGCCCGAGGACCCACTTCCAGCGACACTGGTAACACCGGCACGAGAAACCGCGGCACCTCCTCCGGACAGCCCTCCGCCAAGGATGTCACGGGAGGCGCCAACCACCGTTCCCGAGCTTCACGACTCCTCCCGCACCCGAAAGACACCATCTCATTTAAAAGATTTTATCTGTGGGTGCCTTACAGACCAAGGGGGGAGGGATGTAATGTATCAAGTTCCAACTGCGTGGTCAGCTTGGGCACCACGCGGTCAAGAGCTTTGCTCCGATAAACAAAGGAAGATGCGGATCCTAGCCCACACCAACCAGAGGGCTAGGCTCGGCCGAGAGCCTATTGGACTCTTGGCCACTAGTTAGGACCTATTGGGAAGTGGGGGGGGGTGTTCTGGGTGGTGGGTGTTTGGGGATATAAGCGGCCTGCGAGCTGGCTACTTTGTCTTGTTCTTGATCTAATAAAGTACGCTAAGCTGAAATCACTTGTCTGTCTGCATACTTTTCAGTGGGCGTTGTGGCATTATGCCCAGCTGGGGTCCCTCCCCTCCACCCCCACCCCACAGATCTCCAGGAATTTCTCCCTCCCCCTCGCCCCGCAGTTGGCAACCCGAGAGCGGGCGCTCTTGCCTCTAGGCAGACCCAGTCGTGCACCGCGAGCCGGAGGGGGGGCTTCTGCCTCCCCTGCCTCCCACAAGAGGAGGAACCCGATCCCCGCCGCCCACCTGTCCCCCTCCCTCTGCGTGGCATGGCAGTGCCCCCCCTCCGCCGGGGACGCCTCCCCTCCCCTCCTGCCGCCGCGCGCGCTCCGCCTTCCCGCTTTTGGGGAGGGGGGTGCCGCAAAGGAGAGGGGGAGGGAAGGAGAGAGCGAGCCCCCACCCCAGCCGGCGGCCGGTGACCCGCCCCGTCCCTTTCCCCTTCCACGGGCGGCGGCGGGATGGAGGCTGGTGGTGGCGGCGGCGGCGCGCCCCTCCCGGCCGTCCGCAGACTGCAGCGCGGCTGGCTCCCCCCCGGCCGGGCAGGCGGGCGCTAGGAGTGCGGCAGGCAGCCGAGCGGAGCGGAGCGAAGCGGCGCGGACTCCCCCTTGCCATGCC